GGATCGACTGTTTGATCCGTTGCTCGAGGTCTGATTACGGCTCTATTGCTTCATTGAATCGGAGTTTCCGTTCTTTGGTTAAGAGTGGGAATATTTATAGATTGAGGAGACAGAACGGGTATGTCGAGCATTGGGTTTACTTCTCTTGCCAGCTCTTGGAATGGGTTGCGTTTGATCCTGTAGAGAGAAGGTGGATGCAGTTGCCAACAATACCTTCGAGTGTTACCTTCATGTGTGCCCATAAGGAGTCTTTAGCCGTTGGGACGGATCTCCTTGTATTAGGGAAAGATGATTGTTTTTCTCATGTAATATACAGATACAGTCTTCTCACTAATTCTTGGTCTTCTGGTATGAAGATGAACTCTCCGAGGTGTTTGTTTGGATCGGCGAGTCTTGGAGAGATTGCTGTATTCGCTGGTGGTTGCGATTCTCAGGGAAAGATTCTTGATTCTGCGGAAATGTATAACTCGGAGCTTCAAACTTGGATAACTCTTCCGAGGATGAACAAACCGAGGAAGATGTGTTCCGGGGTTTTCATGGACGGGAAGTTCTATGTAATCGGGGGAATCGGTGGTGCTGATTCTAAAGTCCTGACTTGCGGCGAGGAATATGATTTGGAGACGAAGAAATGGACTCAAGTCCCTGACTTGTCGCCTCCAAGAAGCCGTGCTGATCAAGCTGATACGTCACGAGCAGCAGAAGCACCGCCTCTTGTTGCGGTTGTGAATAACCAATTGTACGCTGCTGATCACGCTGATATGGAAGTGAGGAAGTACGATAAGGAGAAAAAGAAATGGTTAACTGTTGGAAGATTGCCTGAAAGAGCTGGCTCGGTTAACGGATGGGGACTTGCTTTTACAGCTTGCGGGGAGCGGTTAATCGTCATAGGTGGACCCAAGTACTCGGGAGGTGAGTTTATAGAGCTGAATTCTTGGATACCGACCGAGGGTGGTCCTCCACAATGGACACTGCTTGATAGGAAACATTCTCCTAATTTCGTTTACAATTGCGCGGTGATGGGTTGCTGACACAACACACATTCTCCTTCTCTTAATTATGTCAGACCCATTTTGTGTTTCGTTCCTTCTTCAGCTGCTTGCCTTGGTAGGCGACCAGCTCAACTGATTCATTTTGATGTTTATTTTCATTCTCAAGAAGTAGCTCTATGAAGGAATATATTTATGGGCTTTTTGGTTCGGTTTGTATTTGTCTGCGTTTAGCTAAGTCAATAAGTCTCCTTCTGTGTTGGAGAAGACTAGTTCTTTACTGTTTGAGTTCAATCCCAGTGTGTAGGAGTTGTTGCATATTTTTTGTTTATGGTTGTAAGATCTATTTAAGGACCATCTCAAATCTGTTGAATGCAAGCTTTTTGAGATCAATTTTCGTCAAAACTCAAACTGATTTCTTTGGCTACAAATGAAAGCTAAAAATACAACCAAAACTTTTGTGTATAAAGGAGACATGAACAAAAGCATTGGCTACCAATTAAAGCTACAGATACAACCAAAAACAGTTGGTTCCACTTGTGCAAATGAAGCCAAGACTTGTGAAAAAAAAATTTTGGTTGTGCCGACTTGGTAACAAAATGCTCATATATGAAGTAAACCACTTGTAGTCACTCGTTGCTTTTGCACAACCTACATTGAGAAGAAAACATCAAGACACCATGCGATTTCAAAGAGACAAAAAGGATTACAAAGAGAGTTGTTGAACTCTTAGAACCAACAAATGGAAAGAGACAAAAAGGATTACAAATAGAGGTAAGTCATCTGTAGCTTACACTTATCCTCCCTAGCATTTTGTAAGTGGTCATCTCTAATGCACTCACACTTATCCTCTCCTTCTCCTCTTTCTTCACATTTGTTTCAATGCCAAATAAAAAATCTGAACTTTAGAAAATGAAAGTACTATACGAAACACATATCAAGAAAAGAAAAAAAGTGAAAAATGCACCTTGGAAAGATGAGCAACATGTCACGGGCCATTTTCGGTTCGGGCCAAATGAGCAAAGCCCATGCGAACCAAGGATTGGTGGAAGAGAGTTTTGGTGGGAAGAGTTTGGTGGCAAGGTTTGGTGGAAGGATTGGTGAGAACCAATCTCCACCATTAAATTAGAGTTGGTGTA